CCCCCCCAACAAGCCCCTGTGCATCCAGATGCCCCCGCACCCGGATCCCCCACTGAGCTGCCCTCACCCAGGTTGCCCCACACAGAACCCTCTCAACCCACACTCGGATACCCCCACACTAAGCCCCTCCACACTTGAATCCTGCCTTGCTGAGCCTGCCTGCCCACACCTGGTGCACCTGGCATGGAGAGGCAGGGCCCTGGGATGTTTCTGGGGCAGACCCGGCCCCTGCACTGTGCCAGGGTTGGGTGCAGCCTCACCGCTGAGCCCATGTCCCAGAGTGATCTCCCATCTCTGTGCAGCCAGTGGCCTGTGCTCCCCAATGCCATGCTAGCGCCTCCACATTTATTTGACAAATAAAATTTGCAGAATTTTAAAATATTGTACACAGAATTTTTAATTTTTTGGCACAGAATGCCCTCAGGAGTAGCCCACGCTGGTCAGCATCTCTCACTGGCTATCTTAGGTGGTTCCCCATTGAGGATTATGGTCTAAGATGCCTATCTCTCCCCATTCATTGTATAGGAGCCTAAGCACCTAACTCAGGCTTTGTGGATCTTAGTGTTGTTCCTATGATTTTCTAGGCACCTAAAAGTTAGGTGCTGTGACACTGAGCATTGTAAGTCCCTTTCTGGATCACACCCGTTGTGAGGTAGAAAATGTGCCTTCTTTTATTTCTGGGGTGACAAGGACAATTGTGGATGCCGGTGCTTCCAAAAACAAATAATACAGTTAGTCTAATGAACTTTGAACCCTTTGTTACAGCCACAAACAGGCTGAATACATTTTCGAAGTGAAGAACCAGGGTAATTGTAAAGGAAGAGGAAGGCAGCATGAGGATGGTTTTGGGTGGTGGTCAGGGGTTTTTGGAAGTGTTGGGGAGGATCAATGCTAAAGAGGCTGGGCTTATTAATGAATTTATGAATGTTAGAAATAAATATCCATATCTTAAATACCCATAAATCCTTTCACTTTGCACTTAAAACACTTATTTAAAGCCAGACTGCAGCCACAGGTGCATGGCCTCCCCAGATCTTGGGTTCCAATGTGTAGGGGGTAAGTAGATGCTGCATGCATGCTACTCCTTCCACTGAACAGATGAGCGTAGAAAGGCAGGGAATGGGATAAGGCTTGGCCCTGGTAACCTCACTCCAGATGTGAAGTAAATTACTGCATTTCTTTACAGGGCACAATTTACTGCCCCGCATTATGCTGTCTCAGCTCTTCTAGCCAACTTACAGATGGGACTAGTAGTCCCATGGAACCAGTGTCTGAAATGGTTTCTATTCAATGCTAGCGAACAGGAGCAGCTAACAGGGGAGTTTTCCATGTAAAAGAGTGACTATATGATCCTTGGGGATCATATAGTCCTTAAGTTTGTTTGTTTGTTGTGTGCTTGCTGCTTTATAGAAGTATATAGTGTGGTCTGTTTGTTTGGAAGGCCATGTGCTGAGCCTAACAGCCTGCTAGGCAAGGCTGAGCGCTTCTTACTGGGGCTTTGATCCCTAAGCCCTTTAGCACCCATTAACCCTGAGCCAGGGGGCGGGGCTACTCAGGGAGAACAGGGGCTTAAAAAGCCAGCTCCTGGGTTACCAGAGGAGCTAATAAACAGGAGGGAGTTCTCCAGGTGGAGAGGAGAAGGTAATGAGTTTTTCAGGAAATTTGGATCACTAATGCTACACTATGCCTTTATAAGGGACACCAAATTTCAGAGCAATTTGATTAACCATTTGGATTTTAGAGCACTTACAAGAGCCAAGCTTTATGTATATAAAATGGTGGGAATGGAAACCTTTTGGCTGTTTTTTCATGAGCAGTGTTAAAATGTGTATATTGTTTTCAGTTTGGGTCCCCCAAAGATTTAATGGGTGCTATGCATTACCTTTTGTAAAACTTGACAGATTGAGATCAGATTGAGCTGCATTTCATCATAAAAACATAAGAATGAGCATACTGAGTCAGCCCAAAGGTCCATCTACCCCAGCATCCTGTCTTCCGACGGTGGTCAATGCCAGGTGCGCCAGAGGGAATGAACAGAACAGGTAATCATCAAGTGATCCATCCTCTGTCGCCTAGTCCCAGCTTCTGGCAAACAGAATCTAGGGAAACCATCCCTGCCCCTCATGGTTAATAACCATTGATGGACCTATCCTCAATGAACTTATCTAGTTCTTTTTTGAGCCCTGTTATAGTCTTGGCCCTCACAAGAGCCTCTGGCAAAGAGTTCCACAGACTGACTGTGTGTTGTGTGAAGAAATACTTCCTTTTGTTTGTTTTAAACCTGCTGACTATTAATTTCATTTGGCAACCCCTAGTTCTTGTGTTATGAGCAGGAGTAAATAACACTTCCTTATTTACTTTCTCCACACCTGTCATGATTTTATAAACCTGTATCATATCCCCTCTTAGCTGTCTCTTTTCCAAACTGAAAAGTTCCAGTTTTATTAATCTCTCCTCATACGAAAGCTGTTCTATACCCCTAATTTTTGTTGCCCTTTTCTGAACCTTTTCCAATTCCACTATATCATTTTTGAGAGGGGGCGACCACATCTGCACACAGTATTCAAGATGTGGGAGTACCATGGATTTATATAGAGGCAATATGATATTTTCTGTCTTATTATCTATCCCTTTCTTAATGATTCCCAACCTTCTGTTTGGTATTTGACTGCCGCTGCACATAGAATGGATGTTTTCAGAGAACTATCCACAATGACTCCAAAATTTCTTTCTTGAGTGGTAACAGCTAATGTAGACCCCATCATTTTATAAGTATAGTTGGGATTATGGTTTCCAATGTGCATTACTTTGCATTTATCATCTGCCCTGTCACTCAGTTTTGTGAGATTCTTTTGTGGCTCTTCGCAGTCTGCCTGGGACTTAACTAGTTTGATATTTTAGCTCTAGGCAAAAAAAATAAACTCTAGCTAGAAACATTTTTGAAAAATGGCTTTTTGGGGAGATGGGGGAGGGGGATTAAATGTCTCAGAATCTGCATCTTTAACCTTATTCTGCACCCTCCTGAGGCACACCAAATTTCAAAGAAATCCTACTAAGCACATCAATTTAAAGATCAAATCTAAGTCCTCTACAACAGATGTCTTGACGCTATCTGAATTATAGAAATGCTGGTGTGTTGCTATAATGCAGGAAGCTGAGAGAGTGGCTTACATCACTGAGAGAGCATGTTTATAGGCTCATCATAGTTAGAGTGAAAAAACCAAAATTGTTATCTAACAATTCAGACTTGCAAGTACAGAACATAGTCACAGAAAACAAGTGTTCTATAAGAGATGATAATAATAATTAATTAATACCTATTTATTATTTTAAAAAGACACGGTAACCTAAGTATGGCTCCAAAATAAATGCTATAAAACAAACTTTTTAAAATCTAAAACCAAGATAAATGTTTACACTACTTTTAAAAGGTGTCCAATGGAAACAATGGATTTCTTAAACCTTGCTTTGCAATGCTTCAAGCCCAAACTTTGGAGCACTACATATATGACAGTGAAACTGATTATAAACAAATTGAAATTGTTCTTATTCATTTTCATAGTCAAACAAAGAAAAAAGCACGAAGTAAACAAAGAGCATCAGCAGTTACCAAACCATTGAATTGATTTTTGGTGGTGAAATAATTTGATAAGGAACATAAATACACATGCTGTGGATAGTTCTTTGAAAACTTCAGCTCAGGGCACAGCATTAGTCAAAAAGTCTAGCAGAATGTTAGCAACTATTAGGAAAGGGATAGAAAATAAGACAGAAAATATCATAATACCACTATATAAATACATGTTATGCCCACACTTTGAAAACTGTGTCCAGTTCTGGTTGCCTCATCTCAAAAACAATATACTGTAGTGGAACTGGAAAAGGTTCAGAGAAGGGCAGCAAAAAAGAAAAAACAATTAAGGGTATGGAATGGCTTCCATATGAGGAGAGAATGAAAAGGTTAGCATTGTTCAGCTTAGAAAGGAGACAGATATTATAGTAATCTATAAAATAATGAACAGTGTGGAAAAAGTGACTAGAGAATTGTTATTTACACCTTTTCACAATACAGAATCAGGAGTCACCCAATGAAATTAATAGGCAGAAGGTTTAAAATAAACATAAGGAAGTACTTTTCACTCAACACACAATTAATATGTGGAACTCACTGTCATTGGATGTTGTGGTGGCCAAAAAGAAAACTGGGTTAAAAAAAGAACTAGATAAATTCATGGAGGATAGGTCCATCAACTGACAGCTATTAGCCAGGACAGTTAGGGATGCAACCCCATGCTTGGGTGACCTAAGCCTGTGACTGTCAGAAGCTGGGAGGGGAAGACAGTAGTGGATCACTCTAAAACTGCCTTGTTCTGTACCCTCCACCTGAAGCACTTGGCATTGGCTGCTGTTGGAGACAGGATACTGGGCTAGATGCACCATTTCTCTGACCCAGTATGGCCATTTTTATGCTTTATTTACAACGTATGGTTTCAAGATTGACACTATTCCTTTAAACTAATTCTGCACACAACAGGGAATTGTTAGGTATTTAGGGCTTGCTCCTGATTCCACTGAAGACGGTGAGATTTTGACCACCGACACCAAAGGCAGCAGGATTAGGCCCTAAATGCACAATGAAAACAGGCCGGGGGTTTCTTGGTGCCCTGTAATCCCCAGGTCGCTTGGGAGAGCGTTTCAGCGCTGCCTGGGCACACAGAGCTAGCAAGAGGAGGCGATTGCCTTGGGCTGCAAACGCTTAGGGAACAGCAATAATACGTGTAGTGACAGTTCACCATGGGAGTGGCTATGGACTGTGATATCGGCAAGCTCTTAGCTGTGCAACAGAGCCACGTAGTTACAGGAACATAAGTTTGCAGCGGAGAGACCAGGGCTTCAGGTGTGCACTGGCGGGAAAGCCCGGACACGGCCTCTGTGCTCTGCTCACGAGATCAGCCAACAGCGCTCGCTCTCCCTCCCCAGTCCATCCCCTTCCGTCCCTTCCCAGGCTAGGAAATCCTCTGCCACCTTTTCCCGGGGCCTCGCTGGGCTGAGGAGCCCGGCTCCAGGCAGGCACTGGCCGGGGCTGAGGATTCGGCTTCCTAGCGGCAGCAGCGACACCTCCCGCCGCCTCCCGGAGCCCAGCTGCACCGCAGGGACCTGCCCGCGGGGAAGCCGGCAAGGGGGAGGAGGCAGCGGCACAAACTGACGTGTCTCCGTCATGGAGCTTAGCGTGATTCATCAACAGCAGCAGCGCGCCCGGGGCAGGATGCTGCGCACCATCCCCGCTTAGAGCCGGGCGAGGGGCGACACCCGCCCTGCCCTGCCGTCCGCAGCCGCGTCTCCTTGCCGCGCCGTGCAGCGTCCCTGGGGGAGCCAAGATGGAAGAAATCCTGAGGAAGCTGCAGAAGGAAGCGTCGGGGAACAAATACAAAGCGATCAAGGAGAGCTGCGGCTGGGCCATTGGTAAGGAAGCAGGCAAGGCAAGGGGGGCACCTGCCCCCGGGCGCTTTCTCCCAGTGCATGCCCCAGCCCCCTGCTTTGCCCGGCTCCCGTTATGGGTACGCTGTTAATGTATTTGCAGTGTTTCCCATTGTGCACACGCCGTGCCTGGGAAATCTCTACCTACCATTTCTTGGGTCCTTTCTCCCATTGATTTAAGCCATACCTGTGTTAAAGGATTCCTCCCACCCTCCACTTTGGAGGCTCTAATGTACACATTGCTATCGATTTGTTGGCTTTCAGCCAATAGTTCAGGAAAACCGAGCTGTTGGCAATGTTTTCTTTTCCAGCCAGGGCGCAGACAGTCTTAAGTAGGATTGTATTTAATTATATATTTTTCGAGCAACATATATGAGCTTGCAGGTGTATGGCTCAGGGATTCACCATTGCTGGAAGGCTGATGTGAGCCCACTGCCGGCAGTTTCCTTGCACTTGTAGTAGCACCACTGGTTTTATTGAAATATGTTAATTGCATTTACCTTAGTTGCTAGGTAAGTAAATTCTTCTGTCAGGCTGGTGTAAAACTGTTCAGAAGGGAATGACCCAAAAACTGCCTGGTTGACACAACAGTGGGGAGCTTATATAGTCCAACACCAACTGGGCATAGACCAGGGGTTCTCAAATGGGGTCGGGACCCCTCGGGGGTCACAAGGCTATTACATGGGAGGTTGCAAGCTGTCAGCCTCCACCCCAAACCCTGCTTTGCCTCCAGCATTTATAATGGTGTTAAATATATAAAAATGTGTTTTTAACTTATAAGGGGGGGTCGCACTCAGAAGCTAGCTATGTAAAAGGGGTCACCAGTAAAAAGTTTGAGAACCACTGGCATAGACTGTATAGGGTTAGCTATTAACATATGAAAGGGTGTTACAACTGCTAATTAAATTTGAGAAGGAGGTATGATGACTTAATGAGGACAGCTGTTGAGGTTGAGGTACTTCTGGGTAGAGGAATTACTCATCTCTCACAGGTGTCAAGCTAATGTCCCCTTCGTGTTTAAAAAGCTTTTGATTTTACTATATTCAGTCAATCATCATCTCATGTTCAGGTGCATTCTAATTGCAGTGAATCACATTATATGTTAAAACTAGAGAGAATAAAAAATGAATAAATTTATGTTTCACTGGCAGGTACCTTATTGTTATCCCATCAAATGTATATGTTGTGATTCAGTCATCTGATGTCGTTTTTAAAAGTGCAGGTTGCCCTGTGTGGCCAAACAGTGCTTTGCTACAGCCCAGTGATTTCAGAGGAAATCCATATTGGTGCCTAGACACTACTGTGATTGGAGCAGTATAAATATGTGTATAAACAGCTATTCAAGTGAAAAACAAATGATGTGTAGCTTTTTTTCCTTCTCAGACTCAAACCACCATAAGCATATTTTATGGATATTTTAGTATTTATATGAAGGGAACTGTGTGTTTGTTGATTATATTGGAATTATTAACACCTTTCTTTGGGAGCAAGATCTGGTGTAGGCCCTTAAGTTATTTCACTGGAAAGAGAAGTAATATTTTACCATTCAAAAGTGCCAGTGATAGAGATGCTGAGCAAACAAGATGATTGCAGAACCACTGCTTGTTTTAATAACATGCAATCATTCAGTCTAATATAACACTGAATTCTTTAAAAATATGTATCTTCCATACAAAGATAAGGCTGGTTGGGTGGTATACCAAGTACAATACATTGGAAGTATTTTTTCTTAGTTCTCAGTGAGCACATACATAAGGTGTCTTTTGATGAATGTGCTTTCTGTTACAATGCAATTTTTTGTACTGTAACTTCTCAACCACTAATTTATGCTAAGAGGTCAGTTCTGAGAGCACCTCACTGCACATACCTTGTTGTTAACTACCTAATAAAATGAGTGTCTGTTTAGTGAAAATGAACAAAGTGTCATGAGCTACACACACATTTTCAGAGAGAGTCTGTGACTCAAGAGAGAGTTCAAGCAACATAAGTCAGTGCTGGGGTTGATCTATACTAGGGCTGTCAAGCGATTAAAAATTAATTGCAATTAATTGCATGATTAAACAATAATAAAATACCATTTATTTAAATATTTTGGGATGTTTTCTACATTTTCAAATATAATTATTTCAGTATTACTACACAGAATACAAAGTGTATAGTGCTCACTTTCTATTTATTTGTGAATACAAATATTTGCACTGAAAAAAACAAAAGAAATAGTATATTTCAATTCACCTAATACAAGTACTGTAGTGCAATCTCTTTATCATGAAAGTTGAACTTATGAACATTGAATTATGTACAAAAAAAAACTGCATTCAAAAATAAAACAATGTCAAACTTTAGAGCTTACAAGTCCACTCAGCAGGGCCGGCTCCAGGCACCAGCTGAGCAAGCAGGTGGTTGGGGCGGCACGTCGGGCTCTTCGGCGGCGGGTCCCTCTCGGAGGGAAGGACCTGCCGCCGAAGAAGAAGGCGGCACGGTGCAGCTACCACCGATCGCGATCACGGCTTTTTTTTTTTTTTCCCCCTTGCCGTTTCTGGATCTGGCCCTGCCGCTCAGTCCTACTTCAGGCAATCGCTCAGACAAACAAGTTTGGTTACATTTGCAGGAGATAACGGTGTCCGCTTCTTGTTTATAATGTCACCTGTAAGTGAGAACGGGTGTTTGCATGGCACTGTTGTAACCGGCATCACAAGATATTTACATGCCAGATGCGCTAAAGATTCATATGTCCCTTCATGCTTCAACTACCATTCCAGAGGATATGCATCCATGCTGATGACAGATTGATAACAATCCAAAGCAGAGTGGACCGATCCATGTTCATTTTCATCATGTGAGTCAGATGCCACCAGCAGAAGGTTGTTGTGTTGTTTTTTTTTTTTTTTTTTTTTTTTTTTTTTTTTGGGGGGGGG